AAAAAAAAAAAAAAAAACTCGACCAATTGCGACAGCATCGATACAATTATACGATAATTGATACAATCGATCGCACAGAATTCGTGGTTCTCTTGCATGTGATTTAAAAAAAAAAAAAAAAATGAAGAAAATCATAAATTGAGGATAAATTCGCGAATGGTATTACTTGGAAATGACAGAACTCTGCATCTCGACACAGTTGAAACGATTATCGAGCTCGAGCCGATAAATTTGCGATTACCACGAGTAACACCGTCATTGAAAACGTATTCACTGGTCCACGTAAGATAATAGAGTGTAGCCCGTATCTAGCGATTAAGTATACCATAAACGTTAAGAATTTATTCATACTCACTGAGACACACGACCCCCTTCGAGACAGAATCGATTATTCGTTTTTTCGACTCATACGTAACTTCTTATAAAGCCTGGAGTCTGTCACTTGCTTTTACAAGGCTAAACAAAGCATAAAAGTCTCTAGTTTCCAGGTTTAGTGGTTCTCGTGTGGCTGTTACTAGATGGTATTAGAGGTCTAACTCTGTGGACAAGTATAAATTTTATATAAGACCTGAATGTCTCGCGTATTTCTAGAAATATTCGCAAGCCGCAAAAGTAGATGGATCGATCGACTAATTGGGTCGTCCTCGCGCCGATTTTCAGACGCTCTGAAGACCTTGTCCATCAAAAAATACTCGCCTCGAAAGAGGAATCTCGAACGAAGACGTAGAAGCTTGGAGACCGTTTTGGAGATGGACGCGGGGTCGAGTGAGGGTAAAAACACAGCGAGCAAATTTAGATCGCGGTATGATTGACTGTTCAGTTGACAATGAGAAAAATGGATAAAATAAGTAAAATGAATTCGACGTCACACGGAGGGGCAGTTTATGATTGAACTAGGGGTTTAGCTAATTTTAAAAAATTTTGTCAGTAGTATTGAGCAAATAAAAAAACGAAATGCTACCATCTATAGAAAGATAGATGATCGATCAGCTTAGGGTTTAGTTGATTAGAGAGTCAATTATTTCTTTCGTGTTATATCGCTTTTAAATTTTTAAGAGATTTAATTCTTACTCGTTTACGTCTCAAGTTTTCACTGTGTTGAAATATGAAGTCAGTTCAGTTTCATAGTTCTTCAACGAGATTGAAATTAGAAAATTGTAGATACGTATAATTCCAACAAATTCTACAAATTATAATTTTAGCCAGTAGAACTCTGATTTCATCCGATGGTCAATTGAATATTAAGCTGTGCCTCGATTTAAGATTGCTTGCTGTACATCCACCCGAACGTAACTTTCCAAGAAGCAAAAAGGGAAGAAAGCCATTCTCCGTTCTTTGACGTAACGCTCTGCTATTCTAGCATCGCGCGCATCATCAGTATAAGGACACCTTAGAGATAATTACATGTAGAGACTCGTTGAAGTAAGACTTAATTAACGATTAAGCGAGACGCGGATCTATCGGGATCCCGGCACACAACCGTTCCATATGATCAATTAAAATTCGAATCGTAGTGATTAAGCGAATGGTGAAAGAGAGCAGTTAACTGAAGGAAAAGAGAGAAAAAAAAAGGAAGAAAACTTGGGCTTGGGATGAAATTGAGCTTTCGATTCGTGGATTCTTAATTCGTTTGTCGTTCGCATGAGTTCCCAGTACCGCACCAATCTTCGTTTAGTCCTCTTGTTCCCTCCTTGAAGGAGGGGGGATGGAATAAAACAAAAGTCCGAAAGTAACATTTGTCCATCGTGCTGCATACTCGTACGCTAAAGGCACGTGTGTAAGTGTTTCCGAACGAAGTGTGTGAACATTCATTTTCGCTAAAGTACCACGTTGTATATGTCAATTTATTTTGCAAAATAAACCATTGGACACGAAACCTGAGTCATTGCGAGTTTCCGTCGCACATTGTCCGTTGATCGTTCATTATATATATATTTCTGTCGTTTGTTTCTATAAAT